TATATTTCGTGCTGAGACAATGCACGAACCATTATTGCCTCTACCTTACTTCTTACCTTCACCCTGGGCGACCTCTCGCTCTCCTGCTGTTTGCACAACTGCGCTCGTGGCTTCTTCGGTGCGGGAATTGCTGGCCATTATGGGCCACGCTCATTTCCGGCTACTCAGGGCCCTCGGTCGCCGTCCCTCGGACGCAGACTCTTGTAGATACTTGGCTCCGCCAACATTCTGCTTCGGCAGTGTCTACTCGGCCGACCCTGAATCCTCTCTCGTAGATACTTGGCTCCGCCAACATTCTGCTCCGGCAGTGTCTACGTATTTCTTTCCGTAGCCTCTCACTCCGCTGGCCGGCACTCTCCCATACCGCAAGTTGCTGTGTGTTGTAGTTAATGTAGCATTATGGTGATAATGCAGATTAATGGGTGCACGCAGCTTTCTGCTACCGCTCAATCTATGCTGCTATGTTTGATGGTGCTGTTACTGCATGCTCACGCTTTGCTGCTGGCTAGGGTCTCTGTGCAGCTTGGCACTCTGCATGATATTGAATGCATCTCTCTACGTGACATTGATCGTGTCTCTGTTCATGCGTGTCGCTGGCCTCCGACGCATGGCGTTATCACATGGCGTTATCACATGGCGTTATCACATGGCGTTATCACATGGCGTTATCGTGGCGCTTGCTTGTAACTCAACGTGGGTGGGTTTGGCGGTGCTATGATGGCGCTTGCTTATAACTCAACGTGGGTGGCATGCATCGTTGCATGTCTTGCTAGAGTTTGCTCTGCTATATATTTTCGATCCGTTCTGTGCGACGATCATTCTTGTTTGCTCGTAGTGTTTCACCCTCCCACCTCCCATTTCTCATCACTAATTTGCTTTGATAAAGTGAATAAACGGGGTGTTGGCCACGCTCATTTCCGGCTACTCAGGGCCCTCGGTCGCCGTCCCTCGGACGCAGACTCTTGTAGATACTTGGCTCCGCCAACATTCTGCTTCGGCAGTGTCTACCCGGCCGACCCTGAATCCTCTCTCGTAGATACTTGGCTCCGCCAACATTCTGCTCCGGCAGTGTCTACGTATTTCTTTCCGTAGCCTCTCACTCCGCTGGCCGGCACTCCCCCATACCGCAAGTTGCTGTGTGTTGTAGTTAATGTGTGTGCGTGTATGTGTGTGTGTGTATGGTACATGGTGTATGTGTGTGGGTGTGTTTGTGTGTGTGTATGTATGTGTGTGTATGTGTGTGTGTGTGGTGCGTGTGTGCGTGTGTGTGTGCGTGTGTGTGTGCGTGTGTGTGTTTGTGTGTGTGTGTGTAGGAACATCTGTGAAGTGAAGACCTGGCGAAGTGCAGTGGCATGCCAGCCTTGCTGGAGGAGTCCGTAAGTGCAAATCGCCTGCGTGGGCTTGATCACCTCACAAGGATGGACGACACCAGGTTGCCAAAGCAGATCCTGTTTGTGGAGGGCACCGTCACGGGGCTCCGCCATGGACCCAAGCATCGTTGGAGAGATGTGGAAGTTTCAGACCTGCGTGCGACCGGCATCCCGGAGCCGCAATGGTACCATCTTGCTCTAGACCGAAGGGATTGGCGCGAGCTTAGCGGTCAGAAGCCACCAAGCCAGACCCAACCAAATTGTTCGTCTGTGTCTGCGGCCGCGATTTTCGCCTTCCGAATGATTTATCCCAACACAAGAACTGTTGCCTCGTCTAATAGCTATCATCGCCTTCGGCGATGGGCTTTCCAAAGTTGTACGTGTGTGCGTGTGTGTATGTGTGTGTGTGTGTGTGCGTGTGTGTGTGTGTGTGTGTGTGTGTGTGCATGGAGACGTGTCTACGCATTGATGGTCAGCTGTTGGACCCGCTAGAGGTACGGAATGACCTGCGCCAGGGCTGCTCCATGACACCGGTTCTTTTCAACCTGTACATGGCTGCTGTCTTTCATACCTGGAAGCAGCGGATGGAAGACGTGGATGGCTTCCGTGTCGATATCCGCTGCAACATCAGTGGTCAGCCAATGCAGAAGCCTCGTCGCACAGCAGTGTCAGACACCGTAACTGAATGTCAGTTTGCGGATGACTCCACACTGTTTGCGACATCTGGATCCGGGCTCGAGCTAGCTGCAGTGACATTCAATGAAGTCGCCTCCGAGTTTGGACTGACAGTCTCTCCAAGACCAAGTTCATGGTGATCGGCAGAGACATTTCTGATGCGGACCTCGCCCCTGTTTGTGTTGGTTTGAACCAGATCGAGTGCATAACGGAGTTTCGCTACCTTGGGTCGATCATCGATACGTCTGGCCGGTGTTTGATTGACATTTCCTCCAGAATTGCGGCTGCCTGCCGTGCGTTTGGCTCCCTGCGGAAGCCAGTTTCCAGCAACCACCATCTGTCTGTCCGCACCAAGAAGAACATCTTTCAATGCGTGCGTTGTCACCATCCTGCTGTACGGAGCTGAGTGCTGGGTACCCCTCCGAGCCGACATCCGGAGGCTCTCCAAGTTCTACATGCAGAGTGTGCGTACCGTTCTTGGCATAACAAGGTTAGACGCCTGGCAAGAGCGGATCAGCAATGATCAGTTGCTGGACATGTGGGGCGACAAGCGCCTACTTGCTGTCCGGATTCACCAGCGACGACTTGAGTGGCTGGGTCATGTTGCTCGCATGCCACCAGAGTGCATCCCGAAGATTCTGTTGTTCGGTCTGCTCCCATCCTGCTGTCCACCTGGAGGTCCACGCAAACGCTGGAAAGACTGCATTAGTGCAGACCTGAAGGCCCTGAATGCTGTGGAGGGATGGTGCGATCTGGCAGATTCTCGCCCCGACTGGCGCCGCATGTACCGCTGTTTCGACCCCGAGCCGCCCACACCCAATGTCCATTGCCAAGTATGTGATCGGTACTTCTCTCGCCCATCAGATGAGAAGCGTCACAAATGCTAGGCAGAACGGCAGAAACCGGTGTGTAATCAGGCTGGCGCTTGCCAATGTCGTCTCTGCCAACGTTGGTTCCGCAGCCCCGGTGGATTGGCTACCCATCGGTGCGATCACGGACCTGCTCCCAACATCGAGCACCCCAGCAACCCAGTCACTCCGCAGTGCAGCACCTGTCTCCGGAGTTTCAAGTCCAGCAGCGGCTTGGCCAGACACAAGTGCGACCGCACGAAACGAAGGACAGTGTCGGAAAGGGCCGACTTCCCGTTTGAGTGCCCTTGCCAAAGGAAGCTCCGACTACGTCACCATCTAGTTCGCCATCAGGAGTGGTGCTCCTCAGCCTCTTCCACCCCTCTCACCTGACGGGGACCGTGTAACCTATCACGGCAACGTGTATCAAAGTCAAGGTCAAGGTGTGTGTGTGTGTATGTGTGTGTGTGTGTGTGTGTGTGTGTATGTGTGTGTATGTGTGTGTGTATGTGTGTGTGTGTGTGTGTGTGTTTGTGTGTGTTTGTGTGTGTGTTTGTGTGTGTCTGGTTCTATCAAAGCAGCGTGCTGTCTATACTGGTTACCCCAGCAAGTGTAGGGTGTGCATAGGTAACTGTCTTGGCCGTTTTCTGCCGATGTACTCCGTGTGGTGTAGACCAGGTATGCATTGGTGGTCGATTTACATGGATGCGCCAGTTGTGTGGATTAGACAGTTATCTGGCGGAAGTCTTGATCTGTCTCATTCAGATCTTGTTCGCTATCGTTGCTATAAGAGATAATCTGTGGGTGCGCATACAGTGCATTTACAGATTTGCGTGCTTCTCTTGCGACGGGCGTATACATGGTACATTGTGTGTGTGTGCGTGAGTGCGTGCGTGCGTGTGTGTGTGTGTGTGTGTGTGTGTGTGTGTGTGCGTGCGTGCGTGCGTGTGTGTGTGTGTTTGCATGTGAGTGTGTAAGTGTGCGTGTGGGCATGTGCGTGTGTGTGTGTTTGTGTGTGTGTGTGTGTGTGTGTGTGTGTGTGTATGTGTGTGTGTGTGCAGCCATCCGTGTTGCAACCAGCACTGCGCTACCTGTGATCGCTGTTTTAAATCTGCTCCTGGCTTTCAGCGACACAATTGCAATCGTGGACGGCGTCGTGGCGGAGCGGCTTCCTAGTGGCAGTGCTGACTTCTCTCGAACTCTCTCTTCTACTCTCCCCTGTCTCAGGGGCGGCGTGGCCAAGCATTTGGCAGCTGTACACCAGGCCAGGTGTGTGTGTGTGTGTGTGTGTGTGTGTGTGTGTGTGTGTGTGTGTGTATGTGTGTGTGTGCCAAAGCATTTGGAAGTTGGACTAGTTTCAGCTCCACAATCCAGTGTGTCCTTACTATAATTATAGCTTTCATGGCTGAGGTTGTTGGTATGTCTGTTGGCTCTGGGTTTCCAGTACTCAGTAGCCGAGGCTGGTTGGTAAAGTAACTCCAATTTCACTTCAAGGTACCAGTGCATCTAGTGTCTGCTTCTATCAAAGCAGCGTGCTGTCTATACTGGTTACCCCAGCAAGTGTAGGGTGTGCATAGGTAACTGACTTGGCCGTTTTATGCCGATGTACTCCGTTTGGTGTAGACCAGGTGTGCATCGGTAGTCGATTCACATGGCTTCGCCAGTTGTGTGGATTAGACAGTTACCTGGCGCAAGTCTTGATCTGTTTTATTCAGATCTTGTTCGCTATCGTTGCTATAAGAGAAAATCTGTGGGTGCACATCCAGCGCATTTGTAGATGTGCGTGCTTCTCTTGCGACGGGCGTGGTACATGGTGTGTGTGTGTGTGTGTGTGTGTGTGTGTGTGTGCATGTCCGTGAGCGTGTATGTGTGTTTGTGTGTGTGTGTGTGTGTGTGTGTGTGTGTGTGTCTGCATGTGTGTGTGTATGTGTGTGTGTGCCGATGTGTGTGCGCGTGTGTGCATGCGTGCGTGTGTGTGTGTGTGTGTGTGTGGGTGTGTGGGTGTGCGCGTGTGTGCATGCGTGCGTGTGTGTGTGTGTGTGTGTGTGTGTGTGTGTGTGTGTGTATGTGTGTGTTCAGTAAGCTGCCCAAGGAGGCAGTTTGAAATTTTTCTGCTCCTGACTTTTTCTTGTTTTTCGAGTACTTTTGGGCGAAAGAGAGGCCTGGAGCGACCCCTTGAGGGTTGTCTCCAGGGCCAGTACGTAGACAGTGAGCTGCCGACGACGGGAGCCACGTAGCAGGAGGACGAGGCGAGTTTTTTTTGATACCGCCACCTCTTGCTGCGCCCGAAGTCGCCACTCGCGGTGGTGTGACGAGCCCCCGAGTGGAATATCTCCATCCAGCTCCGAAAAGCTATGAAGTACGTCAAGGAGAGGGAGAAGAGTGGGAGAGAGGGACGGCGCTGCTTGACGTTTGGGTCGTGGAATGTTCGCTCCCTTGTGGAAAGGAGTGGCGGCGTAGCTACGGCGAGCGTTTCTGGCCGAGTGGCAGGGGACAAGAAATGTCGTCGTGTTGCTGCCGAGCTGCGCAGGTTGAACGTGGCGGCGGCTGGATTGCAGGAGACACACTGGTTCGGCGATGACATTTATGTCGTTGACGGTTTTACTATCTTGTGTTCGGGTCGCCCCGTGCCTGGCGACGGAGCTCCGGACAACAGACGAGGAGAAGGAGTCGCCCTGGCACTCAATAAATTTGCAACAGACGCGTGGAAGAATGGTGGTTCGGTCTGGCGGGCTGTGGGCCCTCGTCTTGTCACTGCACGTCTCAAATTCGCCCTGCGTGGGGGAGAAGTCGCATGGGTGACGGTAGTCAGTGCGTATGCTCCGACTTATGCAGCTCCGCGTGCCAGCAAAAATCAGTTTTACGACCAGTTGCAGGAGGTAATAGCTGGCGTTCCTGACAGGGACTGCTGTATTCTGCTTGGAGACTTCAACGCCCGTGTGGGTTCAGGAACAGCTGACGATGGCTGGAGTGGTGTGCGCGGCATGCATGGTTTTGGACAGTTGAATTCCTCTGGAGATGAGCTACTGTCGTTTGCAGCAATAAATAATTTGTGGGTTTGCAACACCTGGTTCCCCAAGCGGGATATCTTCAAGCGGACGTGGCAGCACCCCGGCTCTCTGCAGTGGCACTGCATCGACTATATCTTGATGCGTCAGGATCATCGGCGATTTTGCAGGGACGTGCGCGTTGTTCGTGGTGCTGAGTGTGGCAGTGACCACCAGCTGGTTTGTATAGTCTTTGAGTTCCCGCATCGCCCGGTGGGGGTTGCCCGACGTGGAGCGAGCCGGGGGCGCCGATTTAATGTCGGCAAGCTGCGGAGTAAGGCGGTGGCCGAGCATGATCAATCGGATTCCTGCGCATCCACGTTACAAGACGTCAACGATGTGGGACGTCGCCCCCCGCGCTGCGTGACCACCGCGGACAAGTATCGTGCCGCTTTATCTGCTGGATTGCGAGATTGCTGGAGCAGCGATGGTAGCGTTGGGGAGAAGTGGACCCATGTGCGCAATACCGTGGTTGCCACAGCCGCTGATGTATTGGGCCCGAGCGAACGCCGTCAGGCCGACTGGTATGATGGCAACTCTGCAACCATACAGCCCCTTCTGCGCGCCCGCAATGAGTGCTACGCGGAGTGGCTTGCCCACGGTCAGCAGAGGGGCGACACGTATTGGGCCAGCTTCGGGGCTGCTCGATCGCAGGCGCGCGCAGCCGTTGTAAATGCCAAAGAGGCTTGGATTTTGAATAAGGCACAGGAGGCAACAGAGGCGCGCTTCAATGGGGCAGTCGTCTGGAAATGCGTTCATGCTATCCACGCTGCATGTGAGGGATTAACTCCGTGCAAGACTTCCGCCATTAAGGACGAGAATGGAAACCTGTGCCAGTCGACTGAGGATCAATGCAAGCGGTTTCAGAGGCATTTCACATCTGTCCTGAACCCAGAGAGCTCGTACAACCCCGATATCATGGCTTGCGTTGAGCAGCGACCTGTAGTGTCGAGCCTTGAGGAACCACCAACCATGCATGAGATCTCCAAGGCCATTTCTCGACTTCGCAATGGCACCGCTGCTGGTTCATCGAGGATACAGCCAGAGTTGCTAAAGTTCGGTGGCGAGGAGCTCAACAACAAGCTCATGGAGCTGTTTGGAGATGTGTGGCGAGATGGCTGCGTTCCGCGGGAGTGGGCGGATGCTACCCTCATCCCCATTCCAAAGAAGGGAGATTTGTCGCAGTGCGACAATTGGCGGGGCATTGCGTTGCTGGATGTGGTCGGCAAGGTCTTGGCGAGTGTCCTTCAGAGAAGGCTGCAGGTATTCGCAGAGGAATTTCTCCCTGAGTCCCAGTGCGGGTTCCGGCGAGGGCGTGGCTGCTCTGACATGATCTTCACCGTCCGACAGCTCATGGAAAAGTCAATCGAACATCAGGCCAAGGGATTTTTTGTGTTTATCGACCTGAAGAAGGCCTATGATTCAGTGCCCAGGGGGTGTCTGTGGCAGGTCCTCGGCCGTGCGGGAGTACCAGAAAAGCTTATCAACATCATCCGGTCGTTCCACGACCCCATGTCAGCATCGGTGCAGTTCAACAACATATTATCAGACCCGTTCAGCATTGGCAATGGTCTTCGCCAGGGGTGCTCTATGGCGCCGGTCCTTTTTAATATCTTTATGTGGGCCGTGATGACCCAGTGGCAACACCGCGTCAGGAGAGTTGACGGGGTTGGCTTCGAGCTCCGCTCAGCATACAGCAGCGATTTATACCGTAAACCCCGCCGTGACGACCAACACCATTGCCTAACAGATTCCCAGTTTGCTGACGACTCTTGTTTATTCGCTACGACTCGGTCTGGAGCGGGGGCAGCATTGTGCTGTCTTCACGAGGTGGCGTCGGGATTCGGCTTGACCATCAGTGCAACGAAGACTCAGTTTGTAGTTGTTGGCCCCGGCATCACGCTTACTGACCGCGCTCCCCTCCAACTTGGTCAAGCGGAGGTGGAATGCGTACCGCATTTCAAATACCTCGGTTCTGTAGTGGACAGCGGT